TCATATCATCAAATTTAAGAGATTATTTTAGAGATTAGGAATTTAAAGGTAATTCTTCTAAATACGATCCTGAACATTTGGATTTACATTAATCAAATTCTTTACCAAATTCATCATCATTTTTACCTATATAATTTTAATTAGGTTACTTTTATAAAAATTTTCTGTTTTATTTACTTGTTATATTATTTCACTACAAGTTTCATTAAAATATTTACCATTTTCAATTGTTTTTGGAGATTAACAAACTTAATTTTTAATTTCTTCCTATAATAATATGATATTATTATTCATTTTTTAAAACATATCTTATTTGAAACTAGAATTAATACTATTCTCATCATTATTTTATTATTTTGGAGTAAAATTTATTTATTTTTAACTTGAAGTTTAGTCACTTGTCTGTAGTACTTCATTCATTTAATGTATCATTAGAATCACATCAGGATCTAAATCAAAATCAAACATACCATCATTATATTTTTTAATCATTTCCATCCACATTTAAATAAATTCCTAAATTTGATGCATTTAACATGATGAATTTTAATTCAATTTTGTTTTATTTAAATCTTATGACTCTTTTGATTTGATTGGTGTATGTAAATCAATATTATCCTAATATTTTTAATTTATTGTTACAGGTTTGAAAATATCATCCTTTGAAATTTCAATATCCATCATTTTATAATATTTAATAAATTTAGATAAATTATTAATATATTTATAATATGTAATATTTCATTAAGATCTTCTCTTTGTTATATCAGCTAAGAAATTTTTATATTCAATAAAAGAATCATCAAATAATGCTTTAAGTTCTCTTTCTTAATTTGTGTAGTATTATTAAACTTATTATAAATCTGTTAATTTGAAATATTCTTTTTTTTAGTAGTTTTCATGGAATTTGATCAATTTTTCTGTTTAAATTTTAATTTTTTAGTTATTCGAATTATGAGAATTGTAATATTATTAAAATATTTTAAGACCCAATTATATATATAAAAGAGATCGATCTTATAATTTAAAAGATCCTTCAAGTTATGTTTAAATTGCTTTCTTTTTCTCTTCTTCATATTTAATTCTTAATTTTTCTTATTCACCTTGTATAAAAGAATTAATTTTGCTTAATTCTTCTCTTATTTCTTCTATTTTATTAGTTTTCTCGTAAATTTAATTTGCTTAATTAAATTATTAATTATATTTTGATTAAATTTCTTCAATCTTCTTTTATAAAATATCAGAATTATTGTTATTTTTTAATTAATTTTCATATTCTTATTTTTATTATTTTAATTATTCTATGATTCTTTCTTTTTAATCTAATTGTTCTTTTAATTTCTTTATATCATCTTAAGTTTCTCCTGTAACAGTTTAATTAATTTATTTAATTTATGATTTAATTTCTTCTAAATTATTATAATCTAATTTTTAAGTTGTTTAATTAATAGTCAAAGATGTTTTTTCTAATAGCATATTAATTTATGTAATCTTTGAACAAATATTACTATCATTATATGCAGTTAGGTTTAATAATTCTTATGCTTCTTTATATTTATTATTTAAATCTTTTATTTCTTTATCTTTTTAATTTATTAATATTTAATGATTTTATTTTAACTATTCTATTTGTTTTTCTTTTTCAGTGTTATTTATTTTAGATTATGTAGCTAATAACTTTTAATTAGCTTAAGAAAATTTATGAAATTAATTTTCTATAAATTCTTTTATTTTTTCTTTAACTCCTTTTTCTATTTAATTTATATTTAAAAAATAATCTTTGATCTTTGTTAAATATTATTTTAATAGCTAATCAAATTTACTACCATCTCTAGCTATTGATTCAATTTATTAATATTATTCTAATTCTGAATTTAGCCTTTATTGAATTTCATGTTAAGAGTCTTAGTATTATTTAATTAAAGACTCAAAATATTAGGCGGTTTATTAGATTTAATTATGAAAAACTTGTTAAACATATTGTTTCGCACCCTCTTTTAATTCATTGAGTTCTGAGTTGAATTTCTAAATTTTTTTTGCAATTGCTCTAAGCTTTATTAGTTAAGATTCTGTTAATTCTTCATTTATTCTAAAAATATTTAAATACAGATATACCTATGCGATATAGGAGATTATTCCTCTTAACTCATGTGTTATTGTATTTATTTTTATTATTATTAATGATTATGCATTTAATAATATTCTGAAAATTATTCAGAGTGTCTAAATTATTCGGATACTCTTTACAAATCATATTAATCGTCTTCCTCTAAATATCTATTAAGAATATAATACAAGGAGAATGCAGGAATTCCTAATTAAAGAATGCTATTTATTTGGTCAAATCACTAACTTAATTAATATTTGTTAAAAAATTGTCTTAATTAGAGATTGAGGTCCCTTGATTACAATAGGATTCTTAAGAAACTGAATTAATGCTAATATCATTTTCTAAATTAATTTTAGAAGTTTTCATTCTTTCTAATGAATTTTCAATTATATGCATTAAATTCTTTAAGTGTGTTTCTTCATTTTTACTCTAAGATTATAATCTAAAACTACATTCTCTCTCATAAACTCAGTACAAAGTGTTTTTGCTTAATTCAACTAAACAATTAGCCATTATATCAAATCTTCATTCACTTTAGCTTATAGCATTTACTCCAGAAGCTCATTTTTCTAATTGCCCTCTTAATTATTATTCAACTCTAAATTTTATGGACTATTAAGAATCTCATTTTAACCTAAAATTTCATTCATATTTAGTTACCCTATTATTAATCCATTTTTTAATTTTTTTTAGGTTATGCCTAAATAACTTAGCCAAAATCAATAAACCAAAATCTCTAAAATCATTAATACCAATTGAAATTAGTTATCTTTCTCCTATCTGACTCTTGAAAACATTCCATTACAAAACAAAAAATATCATCTTTTCTTTATAGAATATTGAATTATTTATTCTATTTATTTGTTCTATAATTAATTTTTTCAGAGCTACTATTACTCAACTTAAATAAAAAGTCTTTTAAAATAATTATTATTGAAAAAGGAATATTATTTTAATCCAATAAATCAATTTGCTATTATTATTTTTTGGATTTCATAGAAGCAATATGATAATTTATTTTAATAGCTCAATAAAAGTATTACATTTAATGAAACATATACAATTATAATCTTCATTTAATCATAATTTTAATTATTATATTCATTATTAAGATGAAGTTGATAAGAAATAATTAATGAAATGAAATAAATTTTTAGAATAAATAATTTTGTTGATCCTTAAATAATGAAAATTCTGTTATTTTGAGAACTTATTAAGCAGATTTATTAATAAAAAATATTTAAAGTTACTGAAATTTCTCTTTTTTAAGTATTTTAAAATATTTTAATTTATTAGACATGCTCCTTTTGATTATAATATGCTTAATAGAAACATGTTTAACTTAAAAAAAAGATAAATAATACATTGAAGTGACAGGATTATAAAATTTTGAGATTAAAGACTTTATCCCTAAAAATTTTTCTGAAAAATAAAAGATTACGTTTACACTTACCTACGAAGATGGAGAGATTCCAATTTTTGTTATTTGTGATAATCAGCCACATTTTAATACATTGACAAATTACGAATAGATTAAAAAGTAATAGTATGACTATTTTAGTTAAAATTGTATAAGTGACATAAATGCTTATGATTATAAATCAGAAATACAATCAATTTCTTTAACAAAGAATGTTAAATCATAAGCTTTTTAAAAATATTTTAATATTTATTAAATAGATAATTAGAATATGTTTGTTGGAGCATACTCAAAAAAATAATCAACATTTTTAATGACTGCTATAATTCAATCATTATATAATTGTGGAAAGTATTTATTATAATTAAATTAGAGAATGTAAAAATGGAGGAAATTGTTTTTATGGAGTATGTGAATGTTTAGAAGGAACTTTTGGTGATGATTGCAGTATAATAGGTATAGATATTAAAGATCAACTAAAATTATCTCCAAATAAATTATATTATTTAAGCTTATATTCAACAGGAGCAACATTCTAAAGAATCTTATCAAATTAAATACCTTTAAAGTAATAATGTTATGCAGAGAAACCTTTTCTAGATTAAGGTTCAATACTGATTACAAATCTACTTTAATTAAATTATGATTAAATTTAAAATTGTAGAAATCTTACAAAAGCTCTATAAGATGAAATTAAAATCAAATAGAATGCTTATATCACTTTTAAAATCTATAGTTAATATGATGTAAACATTCTTATAAACAGTGATTAAGATGATGGATTATCAAAAATGATGATGATAATTTTTATTCCACTTTGTGTAGTATTCTTTTTCTTATTGGTTTGTTGTTGTGTAAAAATTTATTAAAAAAAACTACCATAAACATAAATTCAGAAAAAAGTAGATTAAGATGTTGAGGCAAGCTTTGTAAATTTATATATGCCAACTCTTAAATTTTAATAAGTTAAAGAAATAATTTAAGATGATATAAATGAATAAGAAACTTATTGTTCAATTTGTTTAGAGAAATTCACTTTATAGAATAATGTTAAAGTGACTTATTGTAAACATATTTATCATTCTCAATGTTTATCAATATGGATAAAGAAAATCAAAGTATTATTAAATCTATATTTAGATATGCCCTTTATGTAGAGCACCTTTAGATGAAAAAACTCTGGCTTAATTGATGCCTTTAAGATCTTAGACATTGATAGATTAAATTTCTGGTAAATCTTAATCAAATAATAATAAATTGAAGATATTATCTTTGAATTCATTATCTAGTCTAAATGGAGCCAATACTTAAAATGCTTTTTAGCATCTGAATTATTAAAGAAGTTTAGTTTTAGTAGAATGATGAAATAAAATTTTGTAAGACACTTATAATATAAATCTTTGTTTTTCTAAAAATAAATTTATAGGCTTTACTAATCCTATAACATTAAAACAAGTTATATAAAAAAATTCATATTAAATGAAATCCAACTTCTGCAATGTATTATTATGAGTAGCGATCGACATTATTTCTCAAATCTTTGACTATTTAATTAAGTATCATAGAGTTTTCAATCTAAAATTAATAAATTTAAGCAAAAGATTCTTTTGCAATAGGAAATGGATTAGATTAAAAATGCTATTATTTAATTTATTATTTTCTATTTCTAAATTCAATTTCTTATTGTTATTCATGTTATAATTATTTAGATTGATTATTCATAAAAACTAAGAAATCTAAAGGAGGTGTTTATTTATTCAATAAATATTAAGCAATTTAAGATAATTATGTAGAGAAATGCTTAGTGTCTTGAATTTTTTGTTTGATTTCTATCATTTTTGTATGAACTAAATCGAATTATTCTTATAATTCAAATAACCATTTATTTTGTTCTTATAATTTAGATTTGAGTTCATTATTTTCAATAATAATTTATTATAGACTTGCTTCTAAATCTAGACTTTTTGTTTAATACTACTTATAGGCATTTAATTCATTTTATAATTGAATTATTTACTGTTATAATGTTTATTCAGATTTCTGATATTGTCTTTTATTATTTTCTATTTCTCTTGACATTTATGATATTAATAATTGATTTTATTGTTAAATGATTTCTTTTTCTCTTTTTAATTAATTAAGAATTGGTGAATTCATAGGTGAGATATCCATATTATCACTAATATTCATTTAAGAATGTTAAATTTATTGCACATAATCTTAAATATGAGTATTTTGAATATCCTCTGGTTAATATATTTAAAAAGCCTATGAATCTAAATATTATGAAGTAGCAACAGATTTTGGAACAAAAAAGCTTTATTTGGTTGATTTTCTAGTTGGAACACAACTAAAATAACTTCTATCTATACTGCTACTTTTATTGTTTGATTTTGTAAACATTTAGGACTAAAATACAATATTTATTTACTAATTATTATGAATCTCTAACTTGAGGAGTTTGAGGGAATTTAATCATCATTCTATTTTAATGTTATTCAATTTTGAGGTTATTCTTTTAGATTAATGCTCTTAATTGATCATCAGACATTGAATTAAATATATAATAATATTTTAATCAAATATAATTAATGTAATATTAATTTAATTATTCATAGAAAGTGACAATGATCAGATTTAATAATAAAAATATTTACACTCTTTTTAAAATTAATTTAATTATGTACTTTAGGGAAAGGAGAGCATTATCTAATCAAAAATAATATTAAGGTTATGAGGATACCAAAATTTAATTAGACTTAATTGACAAATTCATAAATCCATCATATGAAATTCCAATTAGTCAACAACCTAGTCAGAAGAGTGGAATAAGACAATTAAATTAAATGGATAAATCTTATCAAATTCCTAAAGTAGTAGTATATCCTGAAGAAAAATTAAATGAAGAAGTGGCTCAAATGTAATAAGCATTAGATAAATAAAGTCAAACTCTTAAACTACTTTTAAAAGAACAAAAAGAAGTAACATTATAAATGGATAATCAAGATTAATAGAACTCAAGTTTTAAAGTCAAAACTTGATTATCTAAAAACTCAAGTGTAAACCCTTCATCTTAAGTTGCCTTAGCTACCCCAATATGACTAATTTTATGAAATTAAACATGAAATCAACTCTTTGCGATATTCATTTTTTAACCAAGTTCACTAACCACAGCAACCCTTTATATAACCCCCTTAGATCATCTATTAATAGTTGCCTTAACCTTTTTCGTAACAATACTTTTAATAAGCATATCTTCCTTTTAATTAATAATAATCACACTTTGGATCTTAAAGAGATTATCATCCTTTTCAACATTTAATAAATCCTTATTATAATCCATCTAACCCTAAATCATAAAGATTTAACACTAAAGACAAATACCCAAACTCAAAAGGTAAAGTATAAAAAAAAACTTAAACAAAAACTTAAAATTCTGTTTCAAAGCCTTTTCATTCAGAAAGAAATAGTCGTCAATCCATTCCTTTAATTTCTAAAGGATTAAATTAAAAAACCAAATAAAGCTTTTTCATGGATGTATTATTAAAATTATATTTGATAGAATGCGGTCTTTCAAGTATAATAAAAAATAAAAAAGTTTAAATTAAAAAATATATTCAATTTTGTGAGATATGCAATGAGGTGGAAAATCTATTGTAGACCCAATAAAATATTATGGAGAAAATTATATAGACATTCAGTAGAATGTAAAGCTATTATCTTAAAAACATCATATCCAGTAGCATTAAAAAGAATAAGGGATTGGTGTAAAATGGTATTGGCTAAAGTAGAAAATTATTTAAGCAAAATTAAAGAAATCGATTTTATAGTAATTAATATATCATTATCTTAGAATCCAGAAAAAATACTGACAGATAAAGAAATTGATTAATCATTTATGTAACTTACTATTTCAACAAAGTATTTAATAACAAGTCTACTTACATATTGCACTAGTGATTTTATTATTCCAGAACTTAAATTTTTATCCTATTTATAGTTTTTTGATGAACCAAATATTGATAGAGGCCTATTTATATCCAAGCGGGTATTGTTTTGGAAGGAAAATCAATTGGATATGACTAAAACTCAATAATAAATGATTATTGGTGATCTAGTTATAATTGTACATATTTTACCAGCCTTAATGGATATTTCAGGATCATATTTTCTTATTAAATGCATGGTATCATTAATTTAAATTCATTTTATGAAATAATTTGATCTTTAAATTATAAATCCCAATCCAAGTTATAGATTAATCTAATTAAATGTAAAAGAATATGTCAATGGAAAATTTTCATTAAAATTATAAAAAGTTGAGAATTTTGATGATGATAGATATATAATTGGAGTATATGAAGAATAATAATTTCAATAATTTTTCTAAAAAAGGCCCTACTTTCAAGACGATATGTAAAAAACTCTTTCTGAAATACATACTAACTTATTATAAGCATTAATTTCAAAATGAATTATAATTATTTTTATTTCATACTGTTAAAGTTTAAGTTAAGATTTAATACAATCTTTATCCATATATATTTATTTGAATCTCATCTTAGCTTCTTAAAAAGAAATACAGTTTTTATTATATTTAATACAAATTCATTTGATTTAACAACCTTTAATGATACCAAATATAAAATACTTTAAGTAATTAATAATGATCGATTTTTTATGAATTAAAATTAATAAATTTATATATTCATAATTAGAGAAGATAATTAAATATTTTCAAATATCAAACATATTCAAATGGTAATCTTCTTTTAAAATCACTCTCATTATAAAATAACATCAGTGTGAGAGTCTTAAAAAGTTATAAATTATAGGGATCAAATTATTCCTTTAAGATTTGAAGAATGATAATTCATTTATATATATATTTTAATGATTAATATATTGTTAAATTCATTTTGGTGGGCTTACTGGTTGACGATAAATACGATTATATTGTTCTTTAGGTAGAGTATGATAATCTAAAATTTATTTCTTAATTAATGAGGTATTTAAGTTTTGTGATACATAAGATGCATCAATTGAAGACATTTATATTGAATTATTTGCCTTTTGTTTTCTCTTTTAAAATTCATTATCATTTCGCTTTTTAATTTTTTCTTCCTTCTCAACTTATGAAATCCTAATACAATAAATGTTGTTTTTTACTCTTTTTTTTCTTTGACAACAATAAGAGCTCTTTATGTTTCTTATTCTAATTTTAATTTTTCCTGCTTTTTTTATTCTGCTAATTCTTTTTTGACTTATTCCATCTCCAATTCTCTTTACTTTTTCTTTAAGTAATTCTCTTTTTAAATCAGTAATAGTCTTTCATCTTCAATTGGCTTCAACCCATTTTAAGCTTTTTAGTTCTTAATGAGGAGTTATCTTTTTGCCTTCTTTACAATCATCTGTGGATCATCAATAATTTTATCTTTCTTTAATTCTTCAGGTAAAAACCTAGTATCAGGAGGAGGGTTGGCAGGTTATAGTTTTTATATTCTATCAACTAATTTTTGCATTCTTGTAAAATCGTACATTTATATATTTAATATAATTTATTTATTAATCTAATATTGCAAATAAAATTATAAATATAAACCAAAATTATTCTAACAAACTAAAATTTTCATAATTATTAAGTTTACATTTGCAAAAGAGAGTTTCTAAAATATACAACTAAATTTTTTATAATATTATTGATTAATATATTAATCGAATATGGCATCAGCTGCTAAAGAAAAGAGAATTAAAAAAAAAGAAAAAGAGGAACAAATATAAAGTAAATCATAAGGAAATTTTCACAATTTAGAATTATTATGTAAAGCAGATGACAAATAAAAAAAAACACTGTAAAAAATAATCAAATAAAAACCTGATCTTGCAAAAAGTTTAAATATTTATGCAGATGGAGTCAAATATTATATAGCACGTTAGTAATAGAGAGATAAATTATTGGCTGGAAAAGAATCTCCTTTAGCTGATGTTACAGAGGAGTAAGTATTAATACCTGTTTTACCCTCTATTTCAAATCGTTAAATACTTAGATAATATAAAAAAGACCCATTAAATCAAAAAAAACTATCAGAAAGCTTAGAGAAAGCAAATAAAAGATAGTATCATTAGAATAATTACACTCCATTTGCAAATCGATAAAAAGTTAACATAATTTAATCTTAAAATCCTCCCTTAAAAATAAACAGAGAAAAAGAGTTACCAAAACTAAAAGTAAAGAAATAAAATCTTACATAGTTTAATTATTATATAGGACCTGGAAATAATGGGGAATTAGTAAAACGTATTTTATAGAAAAGAGAATAATTTTGGAGTGCTGTACCATAATAATTTCAATATAAGCATTTTATATGGTAATAATCCTACTTTGGTATGGATTTTAGTAGACTATCAGCTTCTGATAGCTTATTCACAAGAATGATGTATAACTTTTTTGAGTTCCACAAAAATATCACATCTAAATCTGGTATAAAAATATATTCATAAATATAGGTTTATCAATATCTTTACTGTAATACTTTAATAATATAGAGAAAACATTTGATATCATTCCATTAGTGTTTATATTAAATTTTAAGAATTCAGAATGGGTGAAAGATGTACAATAATTTACTGAATTTTATTGTAATAATAATCCATTACCTTAAACATCAATGAAAATTAATTTAGATTTTGATTTTTATGTATCCAATCTTCCTGCAAATAAAGTAAATTATAATGGAATCAAAACCTATAAAATGCAAGAAACTTTAACAAATAAAACTCAATATTTATGGTTACTTAAGCCTGCAGATTGGAATAGGGGAGAAGGAGTCCATGTTTTTAATACATTAGAGGAAGTTGAAACATTAATCAAATCATATTATTATGGAAAGGGTAATTATGAATGTAAAGAATTTGTGATATAAAAATATATTGAAAGACCTTTGTTATTGGGAGGAAGGAAATTTGATATAAGATGTTGGGTATTGATAACTCATGAAATGCATTACTTTTTATTTAAGGAAGCATATATAAGAACAAGTGGAACAACATTTTCTTTAGAGAATGTATAATTAAATTATAACATATTAGAAAGATAGATATATTCATTTGACAAACAATGCTGTTTAAAAAAATGCTTAAAATTATGGATAATTTGAAGATGGAAATTAATTATCCTTAAAACGATTTCAAAAACAATTAGAGTAAGTTATAGATGACAATAAATAGTTAATAAGAAACTAAATATGATTTTAGAAAGGATGGATGGCCTAAGATAAAGGAGATTGTGAAACTTACTTTGAATTCAACTAAATTAAATAAGAGAAATAGAAAATATGGGATGCAAATATTGGGTTATGATTTTATGATTGATGAAAATTTAAAATTATGGCTCATTGAGGTTAATGCTAATCCTTGTATTGAAGAAAGTTCAAATTTATTGAAAATGTTGATTCCAAGAATGTTAGATGATGCTTTTAGACTTACTATAGATAAGGTTTTTACTTCAGATGTAGATTTTGGGATACAATAACCAAAATTTAAAGTAGATGAATATGATGATTAAGAGAATATGTGGGAATAATTAGGAGTTTGTGGATGAATAAATTAGCTAAAATAAGTTCATTTATATGATTATAATATATATAAAGATTTAAATAAATATTTAAATTTAATATGGATTAATAATAAACAGAGTAAGACAAACTTGAATCAATAGCTACTCCAGGAGTGTTAGATAAATATTAAAATGCTGGTAAAATTGTAAATGGTAAATTTTTTTATTGATTATTAAATAGTTGTACTGGAAAAAGTGATCACTAAATTATAGCCAGAAGCTGATATTGCTTCTATTTGTGCCTTTGGTGACTAAGAAATTAATGGAGAATTACAAAAAGTTTATAACAAGAAAGGAATTGAAAAAGGTTTAGCATTCCCAACAACAATTTCTGTAAATTAAATTTGCGGTCATTATTCTCCATTAAAGAGTGAATCAAGTAAACTCGTTAAGGGTGATGTAGCCAAAATGTAAATGTTAATAATAATGTCATAGTGAATTAGGAGTTCATATTGATGGATATATTGCCATTGCAGCACACACAGTAGTAGTAGGTGAAGATTAAGTAGAAGGATAAAAGGCAGATGTCATATTGGCAGCCTATTAATCAGTCTAAGCTTTATTTAGATCAATAAAACCAGGAGTCACAAATACAGCTTTAACTAAAATTATTTAATAAATATCAGATGATCACAAATGTACACCATTAGAGGGTGTTTTAAGTCATGAAGTTAAGAGACACTTTATTGATGGAAATAAAGTCATTATCAATAGAGAAACACAAGAATAAAGAGTAGATGAAGAAGAAATCTAAGTTAATGATGTTATTGTGTTAGATGTCTATATTACAACAGGAGATGGAAAAACAAAAGAAGTATTAAATAATTTAATTAAATTAGTCTGAATTAAGAACTACTGTTTACAAAAGAGCTTTGGATAGATAATATCAATTAAAGACTAAACATGGAAGAGCATTCATGTAAGAAGTCTATGATAAATACCCATCTTTATGTTTCTCATTAAGATCATTTGAAGATGAAATTACTGCTAAATTAGCTGTTTAAGAATGTGCTAAACATGAATTATTAAACCCATATCCAGTTTTAATCAGTCCAAATAGTATTGTAGCATAATTCACAATGACTGTTGCTGTCTTAGCTAATAGCACACTTTAAGTTTCTGGACTTAAATTAGATGAAACCAAATTTAAACCTGCTCATGATATTAATGATGCAGCACTCAAAGATTTATTGAAAGTATATTATACAATTCTAATATTTCTAGTTACCTATGGACAAGGAATCATAAAAAAAAAGACATTTAGAGTCAAAATAAAAAGCTTGATAATATATATCAATTAGAGTAATATAGGTATATTAGTAATATATTATCTCATATTTAATTCGAATATATTATTCAAAATCCTATTTCTTCGTTTACTTTTTTTAAGATCTCATGTTCATAANAATATTTAAATTTAATATGGATTAATAATAAACAGAGTAAGACAAACTTGAATCAATAGCTACTCCAGGAGTGTTAGATAAATATTAAAATGCTGGTAAAATTGTAAATGGTAAATTTTTTTATTGATTATTAAATAGTTGTACTGGAAAAAGTGATCACTAAATTATAGCCAGAAGCTGATATTGCTTCTATTTGTGCCTTTGGTGACTAAGAAATTAATGGAGAATTACAAAAAGTTTATAACAAGAAAGGAATTGAAAAAGGTTTAGCATTCCCAACAACAATTTCTGTAAATTAAATTTGCGGTCATTATTCTCCATTAAAGAGTGAATCAAGTAAACTCGTTAAGGGTGATGTAGCCAAAATGTAAATGTTAATAATAATGTCATAGTGAATTAGGAGTTCATATTGATGGATATATTGCCATTGCAGCACACACAGTAGTAGTAGGTGAAGATTAAGTAGAAGGATAAAAGGCAGATGTCATATTGGCAGCCTATTAATCAGTCTAAGCTTTATTTAGATCAATAAAACCAGGAGTCACAAATACAGCTTTAACTAAAATTATTTAATAAATATCAGATGATCACAAATGTACACCATTAGAGGGTGTTTTAAGTCATGAAGTTAAGAGACACTTTATTGATGGAAATAAAGTCATTATCAATAGAGAAACACAAGAATAAAGAGTAGATGAAGAAGAAATCTAAGTTAATGATGTTATTGTGTTAGATGTCTATATTACAACAGGAGATGGAAAAACAAAAGAAGTATTAAATAATTTAATTAAATTAGTCTGAATTAAGAACTACTGTTTACAAAAGAGCTTTGGATAGATAATATCAATTAAAGACTAAACATGGAAGAGCATTCATGTAAGAAGTCTATGATAAATACCCATCTTTATGTTTCTCATTAAGATCATTTGAAGATGAAATTACTGCTAAATTAGCTGTTTAAGAATGTGCTAAACATGAATTATTAAACCCATATCCAGTTTTAATCAGTCCAAATAGTATTGTAGCATAATTCACAATGACTGTTGCTGTCTTAGCTAATAGCACACTTTAAGTTTCTGGACTTAAATTAGATGAAACCAAATTTAAACCTGCTCATGATATTAATGATGCAGCACTCAAAGATTTATTGAAAGTATATTATACAATTCTAATATTTCTAGTTACCTATGGACAAGGAATCATAAAAAAAAAGACATTTAGAGTCAAAATAAAAAGCTTGATAATATATATCAATTAGAGTAATATAGGTATATTAGTAATATATTATCTCATATTTAATTCGAATATATTATTCAAAATCCTATTTCTTCGTTTACTTTTTTTAAGATCTCATGTTCATAATTGCAATAAAAGTCATATTAATATATCAAATGAGGAATTGATGGCTTATATTACTATGGTACTACCTTTATCAAATCATATAGCATTTTTGCATTTTCTTTTATTGAACAACATAAAATCTTAGCATCTTCCTTCTTTATATAATTTATAGTTTGAGCATATTTACTCCACACTTCTTCGGTTATAAATGGAGGATCAATCAAAATTATATCAAAAGNTTAGCATTCCCAACAACAATTTCTGTAAATTAAATTTGCGGTCATTATTCTCCATTAAAGAGTGAATCAAGTAAACTCGTTAAGGGTGATGTAGCCAAAATGTAAATGTTAATAATAATGTCATAGTGAATTAGGAGTTCATATTGATGGATATATTGCCATTGCAGCACACACAGTAGTAGTAGGTGAAGATTAAGTAGAAGGATAAAAGGCAGATGTCATATTGGCAGCCTATTAATCAGTCTAAGCTTTATTTAGATCAATAAAACCAGGAGTCACAAATACAGCTTTAACTAAAATTATTTAATAAATATCAGATGATCACAAATGTACACCATTAGAGGGTGTTTTAAGTCATGAAGTTAAGAGACACTTTATTGATGGAAATAAAGTCATTATCAATAGAGAAACACAAGAATAAAGAGTAGATGAAGAAGAAATCTAAGTTAATGATGTTATTGTGTTAGATGTCTATATTACAACAGGAGATGGAAAAACAAAAGAAGTATTAAATAATTTAATTAAATTAGTCTGAATTAAGAACTACTGTTTACAAAAGAGCTTTGGATAGATAATATCAATTAAAGACTAAACATGGAAGAGCATTCATGTAAGAAGTCTATGATAAATATCCATCTTTATGTTTCTCATTAAGATCATTTGAAGATGAAATTACTGCTAAATTAGCTGTTTAAGAATGTGCTAAACATGAATTATTAAACCCATATCCAGTTTTAATCAGTCCAAATAGTATTGTAGCATAATTCACAATGACTGTTGCTGTCTTAGCTAATAGCACACTTTAAGTTTCTGGACTTAAATTAGATGAAACCAAATTTAAACCTGCTCATGATATTAATGATGCAGCACTCAAAGATTTATTGAAAGTATATTATACAATTCTAATATTTCTAGTTACCTATGGACAAGGAATCATAAAAAAAAAGACATTTAGAGTCAAAATAAAAAGCTTGATAATATATATCAATTAGAGTAATATAGGTATATTAGTAATATATTATCTCATATTTAATTCGAATATATTATTCAAAATCCTATTTCTTCGTTTACTTTTTTTAAGATCTCATGTTCATAGTTACAATAAAAGTCATATTAATATATTAAATGAGGAATTGATGGTTTATATTACTATGGTACAACTTTTATCAACTCAAAGAGCATTTTAGCATTCTCTTTTATCGAACAACATAAAATTTTAGCATCTTCCTTCTTTATATAATTTATTGTCTGAGCATATTTACTCCACACTTCTTCGGTTATAAATGGAGGATCAATTAAAATTATATCAAAAGTATTTTTGAATTATTCTAAACCTTCTAAAGGCTTGTTAAAATCATAAAAAACAAACCCTTTCTCTTTATTTAGTTTTAAATCAAATTCAAAAAGTGATGAATTCCCTTTAACTTCTTGATTTTTTAAACTACAATAAATTGAAGGAGTTGATAAGAAGGCTAACTTTTATCCATTCTAATAAATTGACTCAAGATGATCAACCAAGAATTCAATTGTTTATTCTGAAAACCAATACTAGTTTAAAGTACTATCTTCTGCTTTTTTGGCTAAAAATAAATTTTTCTTTTTCATTTTCTTAATTAAAATGTTAATAAAATACAAAAAAAATATTTATCATCAAAAATCATTATTATTCATTTTCATTATTTTCTTCATCAATTCATTCATTTAATTTATTCTAATTATCTTAAATATTCTCATTATTATTATTATTCCCTTCATTTTTTATTCTTCTACTGAATTTTCAAAATATTATATTTCCCGCAATTCATCATCTTTCTCTCCTTAATCCAATAGATTCTCTTATTAAATAGCATTTTCTTAAGAAGATTACTATAATTGAACATCTAATTATGATAAGTTATTTTCATACTTTGGAGAGATTAAGCAATTTCCTAAAAGTCAATAGCTTTTAAAGTCATTATAATATCAAAATTTTGTTACTTATATTCTTTTTTTTCAATTTTTTTCATTCAATTGTCTTCTTTCATCACTGTTATCCTGTAATTATTAATTTTGATACATATGACTCAAATAAAATACGAAAAGACTTAAACATCTATTAAATTTATCTCGAAATGCTTTTTATACTGTTATATTATCACCAAATACTTTTTTGATAAACTCACCGATTTATTTTTATTAAAATATAGGAAAATTAGTTCATTATCATCTTCTCTTACTTATAAATTATCTAAATTTTATTCATCCATTAGAATAAAAAAAATAAATAAAATAGATTATTCAATAATTAATATTATTAATTTGTTATTTGATTGTCTCACTTGTCTAAGTAAAGTTATTAAGATCATATCCATTAAATTATGCTTCCGATTAATAAATTAATACTTTATATTGAATTTCTTCTGAGCATTAGAGCATTTTGTTAGATTAACTCTCCATTCTCTTCATTTTCAATGGATATTTATCTAGCATCAAAATTATCTTCAGATTGCTACGAAATCAATTTATATGTGTCTTTACATGAGGAATAAAAGGAGCCTTTAATTCTTTAAAATACAGTTTTTGCCATGGAAAATTTTTGAACCATGAATGCTGTCTTAATTCTTAGGCTCCATTAAATCCTAAACGATTAGAGGGTTTCCTTTAAATAAGCTATATTATTTTAGAATTCTTACACGATTAATAAAGTCAGCTGATTCTAAAGACCAATTTTCAGGGATTTCTGATCTTTTTATTTAAACTTACTTAGCTAAAATCTAATCTCTTATTTCTTTTCTAGATCTTCCTGTATATGGTCTCTATATATTTATAAATATTAATTATTTACTTTTCCTAACATAAATTCATATCCAATAACACCAAGAGCAAAGTAATCAACAGAAAATGAATGATTCTATCGACACATCACTTCAGGTGCCATATAACCAGGCGTACCACTTGTATCTTAAGCATTATCAGGTCTAAGTACTCTAGCAATTCCCAAATCTGTAATTCTAATATAACCTATTTATATTATAAAGATTTACCCTTTTTATCAAGTACTAAATTTTCAGGTTTAATATCCCTATGAAGAATATTTTAGGAATGCATGTATTCTAATCCTAAAAATATGCAAGCCATAAAAAATCCTCTTTATTATACCAAATTATATACTTGTTTAATCTTCACTAAATCTACGCATTCTTCCAATGTGATATCTTAAATCCCCTCCCTACATATAATCTAAAACCAAAAATAAATTTTCTCTATCTTAAAATGCATAATAGATATTAACCAAATAACTATAATTAATGTATAATACAATACGGATGTTTGAGGTTACTCAAAATGTTCTTTTCATTCATAACTGAATTAACACTTTTTTTTGCAATTATTCTCATAATAATAAATTCAATATTACAATGCTTTTGACATTTCTTTAAGAGCATAGGTTTAACCAGTCTTTTTTTATTCTACTTTCCAAACTTTGCCAAATCCACCGACACCAATTACATAAAGAAAATTAAACATATTTCTTTGAATTTAAAGATCATTAGTAAAATAGTTATTTTATTATTATTATTATTATTATTATTATTATAGAAGTTAAGTAATTTATTTATCTTATTCTTCATCTTCTTTTTTAAACATCAAATAATTCAGAAATGACATCTATTATGTTTATTTTGTCTTAGATATTGATGATTTTTTTGAATGATTTGCAGATGTGGATTAACTTGATTAAACTGAAAATTTCTGCATTCCATGAAATAATGGTGAAGGGGAATGATCATTTTAGTTAATCCTACTCCAATTAAACTGTTAGAAAAATACCGATTATTATGAATTATCTATGTTTCCTGATTCCCTTAATTAATTGCTAATTTTTCTTCTCTTTTTCCTTAACCTGAAACTTATCTAGAATGAGGTATTCTATAATTCAAACCATACATAACAATTATTTTAAAATTTTATATAGTAAATTTATAATAATCACAAAAAGAATTCATAATTCAAATAATTGACTTATTATTATCACTATAATTTTATTAATGAATCGAGAACTTGAGGAAACTTCTTAAAACCAGGAAAATAAAAATTCAAAGGAGGAAGATGAAAAGAAGTTCAAATTACTTAAACAGCATTTTAGAGCTTAATTCAAAGAATCATATAAATATATAGGTAAAATAATAAATAAGCATATTAGGTTTTAATTTACTATTCAGTTTTGGAAAGTATTTAGTTTGCTTTTATAGTTTGTAACAACGTGATTAATAATGTGATGTTAATCCATTATTTGTCTGGTTGACTATAGTTGGTATGTATGAATTTTTCAATTCAATCAGGTATTTTATTCCATAAATGTTCTAGGTATTTGGCTGTGCTCTATTCATTATAGATGAATTCCAAAGATATATTCTTATTGGTAATGGCAGAAATGTTGACAAAAGATTCAAATGAATAAATGAATCTTTAAGGAATGGAAGAAAAGAATAAGTAAAAAAATAATTCTAAATTAAAACTTTAGACGAAACCAAATTAAAACTCTTATCAAAATGAAATTATCAACAAGAGACATAAGAGAAGAAGAATTAATAGCTGAACCACCATTTACTCAATATGAAATTATACATTAAGCTGAAGCATTAAATAAATACACTCGTCTTATGAAAGTTTACAATTAATTCATTTTCTACCTTATTTTTACAGGAGGTAATATTGCTTACTTCTAATCAGATTCAAATGATTGTGATGATAGTAACTATTTTAATTAATTTTATACTAGGTTTAAATAATGTTACTTTTGTACTATTATTGATAGGGTATTTGTTTTCTGCATTTCTGATTATTGGATTTGGATTAGCTATTATATCTATGGCATTATATATGCCTATTATCCTCTTCTTATTTATATTTAAAACTATAGGTAAAATTTATAAGAGAATTCAAACTAAAGTAATTATTCTTATTATATTTTTAGAGTAAATTCAAAAAGATGAATAAGTTTGAATTCAAAAGTGTTCCTGAATTCTGTTCCATTTAATAATAATGCAATATTTGTATGTGTGATTATGAAGATAATGATTTAATTGTATAATTGCCTTGCAGTATTAAGTAAATTCTTAATATTAAATTATAGACATCATTTCCATGATCATTGTCTTCAATAATGGGTAATAATAAAATAATAATGCCCTGTTTGTCGTAAATTAATTTGAAAATATATTTACACATCTATAATTTAAACTATAAAATAAAGAAGTTTCATATTATTCATTTCCAAACCACTATAGTGATTTATCCTTTTATTGCCTACAAATAATATCCTTCTTCATGTGTAACAAAAATTCCAAAATTTTTTCCAACCACACAATGCCAAGGACCTGTATATCTTTTATCCAATCTATTATTTGTAATAAATATTTACTCTCTCTTAATATAATATGCAATATCTCTTTCATTACTATGTTTTTTAAGGTTTTCAAGAATTATATATTGAGCATCTTTTAATAAATCACTTGACATGTCACATAATTTAACATTTATTTATTAGGCTGTGTCTGCCATCTAAATCTAATAATTTATATTAAAAATATATTATATTAATTATTAACTGCCACATGAAACCCAATGACCTACTCCAAGAATTTACTGATTTTAGACGAAAACTAAAAGCTGATATTTAAAAAACTGAATTTTCTAAAAGTCCATCAAAAAATTATACTAAAACATAGAGTTCACCTTAAAAGGCAAATTCAGGTTTCAAATAAAAAATTAATTTCTCAAAACACAGAAGTCAATTACAAGAGAGATGTAATACAATATCATCAACATAAAATTAAAACTATTATTCATAGATTTACAATCCTTAATTCTAATGTATAACACATGAAAAATTTAATTCTCAGCAATAAAATATGTAATCACTAAAATCATCCAAATTTACTAATAAGAAAAAATAGAATATAACTGATAGAATATTGAGTTACACATAATTAAATAATTTTTGCTTTACACTTTAATAGATTTAAGATGAAGATATTAGAGAATTACCAAATGAATATAAACAGCTTTTAATATAATTAGCATAATTAATATAGGAAAAAATTGGAGTAAATGATTTCTGAATGAAATATTGGTTACTAACACTATTTGACCATATATTATATAAATACTTGAATATAAAGATTAAACAAGTTTATATGTAAAAATCATTGTTCATGCAATTAATCTTAGCATTTTTGATTAAATTACTTGAATGTATCGATTTTGTTGACATCATAAAAAGGTGACTCTAAAAGGATTTCATTTATATTCTCTTTATTTTCTTCTTCCATTTTTATGGATTTACTTATTTATTAATTGTGTTTTTAAGCAAGATTAATTTATGAATGAACTTCTACTGTGTCTTATTGTTTAAAATCAAAACTCTTTTCATCAATTAGAGGAAATCTAAATTTTATTTTTTAATCTTTAAAAGCAAATATTGCACTTTTATTATAAGGTGTGTTCTAGTACCCATACTTTTAAACATGATTAATTTATTTTTATTTATCTTTAGAACATTCAAAAGATGATTATTTTTAAACTCTATGAAACTCTAATTCCATTTAATTCGAAGTCATATTTTTATAATAAAATTATTTATTTAAATGTTGAAAAATATTAATCTTAAATGAATATTATTTTTATTCTAATAAATTTAATATCTATTATGTTTGCTTAATTTTTAAATTATATGAAAAAAACAAAAATATTTCTAAATTATTATCATTAGAAATATAAAATTATAAAATAATTGATCTAAATCAAAATAGAAATGTAGAATAGATATTCATTAACCTAAAGATCAAATCAATAGAAAAATATCATTTATTTTATTTGTTTTCTATATTAATCAATATTAATATAAAATGTAATCATAAGAAAATTGGTTAGATAACTCAATAGAACCATTTCAAAAGTTTTAATAAGTAAAATTTAGATTTATCTTAAGGCACATTCTAATTCGATTGAATGTTTGTAATTTAATCCTTCAAATCAATCAGAATTGGCTACAGGTTCTCATGATAAATTAATAAAAATTTGGGATGTTACAAAGTAAAAAGAAACAGCTAAATTTTCAGGACATAAGTATTAATAATTTATATCTTTATAGAGAAGGAATTTGGTCACTTAGTTATTCACTTGATGGAAAATAAATTTTTAGCGGATCTCCTGATAAATCAATTTTAGTATGGGATGCTAAAAGTGGAAAGAATGTTTAAGCTTTAAAAGAACACAAAAATAGAGTATGATATAAATTAAATAATTAGATATACTGGATACAAGTGAGTGATAATGGATTATATCTAGCAAGTGGAGGATAAGATGGGCATTTAATACTTTGGGATTTAAGAAAATTGAAACTTATTAAAGACCTTTAAAGTAATCTAATCTATATCAAATTATAGTATCCATGGATATTGTTTACAATATAAATTTCAGTCAATAAAGTAAATACTTTTTCACTGGAGACTCAATGGGAGTTATCAAAGCTTATGATAGTTAAAAAATTGAAGAAATTTCTAATACAAAACCTGCATAAAAGAATAAATGTTATGCAATTTAGTCATTAAAAATGTCAGAAGATAACTATAAATTATTTGTAGCATCAAAGGTATATTATTATAATATTTTACAAGAATTAAAGTATTAGTGAGTATAATTTTGATGGTAAGAAAAAAGAATTAACTAAAATAAACTAATCTGCAGTTCATTGTGATAGTGTATGAAAATTTTATTATAAAAAATAGGTTCATTGTATAAATTTCGATAAAGATAAAAGTAGATTTGGTACTGGAGCAAGAGATGGAGCTGCAAGGATTTGGTAAACTGAAAGGAAAGGAGTAATTTATACTCCTTTGTATAATTTGATTGGTCATAAGTAGAGAGTTACAGCAATTGAATTTCATGGAACTGGGAAGATTATTGCTACTTGCAGTTGGGATTAAAATATCCATTTATATAAAATATGAACATATTTAAAGAGCATTTTGTTCTATTTAATTAATTATAAATTTAATAATAATACTATGTTGAACATCATTTGTCAGCTAAATTTGTAGGAAAAATGAACTTCTTAAAAATATACTTGAGATCAATTAAATTCTTGAAATGATGATGAAATGATTAGAAACTGAAATTTAATTTAAGAATATCTAAAAATACAGATGTTTAAGTGTGTTATTAATTTATATAAACAAAAATGTTATAAAGGCTAATGATTAATATATATTGAAAATTAATTTAATTGCTATATCTATATATCTACTTTTATTTATACTTTCATCTGATTGTATACAAATGATTTGTTTAAATGTTATGGAAGATAATTGAAAAAATATATATAATTCTGATTATAATATATATTTATAATTTTGATATCTTCATCAATTTTAAATAACATTTAAATATATGATGGGGTATTCAAAGAATTGAATATAAGATAATTATTGGGATGATAGTTATTAAACTTATAATAGCAACAATAAGTTTCTAATTTTCAGTCATATATAAGCTAATTAAAGCTAGGAATTATAAAAAATAATTAATTTTATTCAAAAAAAATAGCTGAGAATGAGTTACCAACTTTAACCAAAGCCTCTATAATTATGTAATTATATGCAATTAATTTTTATAGTTTATTATTTACCTTACATTCATTAACTAGCTATACCAATGGTACCTTAATATCCATACTGCAATTTTCCATAATAAGTGAGTCCAATTTACTACCCAGTAATTCCAGGAACATCATAGGATAATTGTATTGTTATAGAAGATGATAATGTAAGCTAATCATCCATAATTTTATAGTAGATTCAGCACCCACTGAACTAAATTCACTCTATGATGATACCAACATAAACCAATAGAGAATCAAATTTTCTATAAGAGGATGTTATGCAATAGGAATAACTAGTATAAAAAATAACTCATTAAAATAACAATTTGAATGAAAATCAACCTCACATTCGTATTACTGTCTATAAATAACATTCAAGTTAAACTGACTAAGAATTTATCCTTCAAAATGATAGGTAATAAATTATATGATAATTTAGAATATTGGGGTCTAATTATAAAAAAGAAATAATTATTGGCAGAAAAAAACAGTAAGAAGACAATCAAGAAAATTGTGATATCTGTATTTACTCTTATAATTTATTTAAGATTTACCACATGGTGATAAGAATGTTGAAAAAGTTCACTGTAAAATTTTGACTGATAAAGGATTCGCCTTCTCTAATACTCTTACTAAACCTCTATTACTTTTCTTCTCTATTATTAAAAATAATCCACATGCATCAAAACTACCTTTTTCAGTTATTAAGCATATATATTCTTTTATCAAGTAATTCAAAATATAATTATTAGAAATAAACCTTAATTTTATATTAGTGATAATGGAACCAGAAATGGTACTTTTATGAAAATAAAAAAGGACAAAATAAGAATTATTGAATAAGAAAATACTTATTTAATAGGAGCTGATACATTTTTCCATGTTTTGGAAATGAAATCATAGCCAAAACAAAATAAATCAAAGAAAGTTAAAGATCTAAACTTTTTCTATAATGCTCTTGCAAAAGAACATATAAGAAAAGGAGCTAAAATTCATGGATTAACAATTGAAGAAACAGAAATGTTCAATATTACTCTTAATGAAATAAAAACAACAAAATAAAAATAAAGAACTTCATAAAAATTAAGTCAATATGATAGACCCTATTTAAAAATAACATTCGATAATTAAGCAATACATTAAATATAAACTCATATTTTTATTGCTAACTACAATTAAGAATCTGTATATAAAATTGGTAGATCCTAAGAATGTGACGTATTAGTTAATATTAATACTGTTTCAAGAAGACAAGCTTAAATTATTTATAAAAATAATGAGTATTTTTTATAAATTATTTTAAGATGGTTCATTCATGATGGAGAAGGATTAAGAGAATCAGCCAATGGAACTTGGTAATCACTTCAAAGCCTTTCTTAAAGAAATCATGATAAGAAATAATAGTAAAGCAGACCTTAACTCATTGAAGATTAAATGGAAATTAAAATAAGTGAAAACATCATCAAATTTGATTTTTTGAATTTTGGTGTAACAAAAAAGTAATTAATAATATTAATTATAGGCGCAAACTTAATAAAGCTTTAATTCAAGATCTACTAAATATATAGTGAACAATATAAAGAATATATTTTTATTTCAATTTTTTAAAAAGCTTGATCATATTATTTAAGATGTCAAACATCTGTAAATAATTGTCTCTTTATTTTATATATATATCAGACTCTATCTTTAATTTTTTTTGGTATTCTTAATATACATTTATATCATTATTGGTAATTCTTAAATAAATTGCTTAAGATTATTAAATTAATAAATCTATAATGTATTTCTATATATAAATATCATATACAATAATTTATCTTCCTAAGTTTCTTTAGTTATTTAAATAACAAATTGATATTCATTAATACACTTAATATCTTATCAAATTTTAAATTAAAAACTAATAATAAAATTAAAGGAATAAAGATGATTATAAGAAAATTGATTCATAAATATTTCAATTTGATCAATTCTATATAATAATGCAAATTCAATTCATAATCCTGTATAACTCAATCCCATAAATTTTCTTTTTGCTATTCCAGTCCAAAACTTAGCTTCAAATGTTCTTTTACCATCTTTATAGAACCTTAAAATCTTTATCAAAAATTACCTTGCTATTATTTCTTTTGCAAGAATATCTTTAAGTCCTTTCAAATATCCTTATATTTTATCAGTTTCTCCTGGTGTTTCTTTAAGAAGACCACCAAGAAAGTTTTTTTTATCTCCACTTCTTGTAGGAATAGCTTCTCTTGCAATTTCATCAAGCTTTTTAGCAGCAGCTTATTAATCTTAATCATTCTCTATAGTTTTTATCATATGTGCAGAAACAACCCATAAGTAGATTAATAAAATATCAGAAGGTCCTAGAAATTTTATTTATTTATTACCTTCATAATTGTAATTTTTGAAGAATGTCATCAACCTAAAATATTCTAAAGATTCCAAGACTATTCCTTTTTAAGATATTTAATCATCAAAATAAGCTAAACCACACAATGTTTTATCACTCTTTAATTTTGCATGACAGACCTCAATATTAAATTAAGCATTACAGATGGATCTATTGTGACTACTGTTTATTGCATCTATAAATTATAGATTAATATAATAATATATATAAAAAAAATCATAGTTTTTTATTCTTTAGCATTTTAACAAATTCTTCATAGGATATTTATCCATCTCCATTATTATCACAATCAGTTAGTATCTAATTCCAAACATCATCACCCAAATCTCCCATAATTGCTTCTAATTCCTATTTAGAAATAAAACCATCTCCATTCTATATTATGAATATAATTAACTTAATCAAAGATCTTAAATGCTTATTCAACTCTTTAAACTGATAATAATTTCTCTTGATTCATAGCAGCCATGCAAAATTCTGAAAAATCAATCTAACCTGATCTATTTATATCAATCATCTATAAGATTCTTTCAACTTCATCTTCTGCCAATTTTGAATCTGTTTATATTTGAATATATCCTTTCAATAATTCATCTTTGGATAAAAAACCATCATTATTTTCATCTAATCTTTGAAATTCCTCTTATAAATCTTATAATTCTTTTTAAGTAGACATTTATGTAATCATATATGACATTAAAGCTTACTTTAAGATGGTTTCTGCCTATCAATAAATCATCCTTAAAGATACTTAAAATTATCTTAAATTATTTAGAACTTTTTTGTTGATTTATGTTGATGGGGCATACTTAATAAGCCAAGGATCTTCTAAAGCCTATTTAGCAGATAACCTTTTATTTGGATCCATTCTAAGTAATTTTGTTATAAACTCTTTTGCTTCTTTAGAAACTGTATCCCAATCCTCAGCTACATTAATTACTATATTTAATTTACGATCAAAAGTAAATTTGCCTAATTTAACTCTTTCTAATATTTGATTTTCAGTTTTCCCCACAAATGGTGGATATCCACATAATAATATATACAAGATTACTCCACAAGACCAAATATCACATTTTTCAGTATAAGAATGTCCAAGAACTTCAGGTGCTATATAATATGGCTATAAATATGATGATTTTTTGAAATACTGTTCCTAGCCTTTTGCTCATCACTTTTTAATTGTCAAATTTTCGAGATGTTCCAAAATCAATTACTTTGAGTTAAGATTATGGATCTTCACTTATAAATATAATATTTTCTGGTTTCAAATCTCTATGTACAATATTTTATTCATGACAATATAATGTGGCCAATAAAATTTATCGAATATAATCTGCAGCAATACTTTCACTAAATGAAGACATCTTTTTTATCCTATCAAATAGCTCTCCTCCTGATAAATATCTATATATTATAATAAAATTACTCAGTTACTAAATAATAATTATTCTCATCTTAATATAATTCAAATAATTTAACAATATGTGGATGATCTAAGTTTTTTAAAATATTCATTTCCGAAAATAATCTTTATTCTTCTTCTTTAATTATTGAACTCTTCTTTATTTATTTTATTGCTCTAATTAACCCAGTAGTTTTATGAGTCACTTTCCATACCTTACCAAAAGCACCTTAACCTAAAACTTTACCAAAATTGTAATGTAATCCTATTGAGCCTTCCTTTTATTTCACAAATATATCAAACCCCAATTTTATTATTTTTTTAGATTTTGAATCTGCCTCCAAACTTCCTTTCATTACTTCACCTTTATCTAAATAATAGTAATTCATTTCTACTTTGTTCATTTGTCTTTTTTTGTGATTAAATAATCTCTGAATTTCTAGGTAATTCTTCTTTGAAAGGTATAGGTTATTTTTATTCAGGTTCATTATGAGGTTCACTTTCTAAAACATATTCACATTATTTATTCTCAACTTAAACTGGAATTTCTTCAACTTATGATTTTTTGCTTCCTTATTAAGAAAGTGAGACTTTTTATTCAGGAGGCTTTGTGGCATCAGGATTAGGCGAGGTATCTAACTCATCTACAATACTATTGAAAAGATAACCTTTTTATAATCTTGAGTCATCTCGACAACAGACACTACCCATTATAAATGAATATTTTCAATCGAATGATAAAATAAAAATATATATTTTTAACTCAAAAAAATAATAATCTTCTTAGATTAGGATACTTAAAATTAAATGGTTAAATAATAAATCAATGAATTGAATTTTGTTGACATCTTTTACTTTAAAATAATATATTAAAAATAATCAAATTACATAAAATTTGGCTATGATATAATATAAAAATCTTATTAGAATATTTTTAGACATTTTTGAGGAAACATATTTAAAAGATTAATTTCAAAATAACATAACAATCTACTTTATCTAGTTTACTGTTAATAATATTAATTATAAATACATCCAGTAAAAATATATATATAACATAAATCATGACATTTTTTAATTTATTTTTCTTAAATAATTTAAAAGTTCTGTCTTTTTTATTTCTTTAAAATTATGTAATTAATCATTTCAGATTAGTAAATTAAGTTACAATAATCCATACATTAATCTTATATTATTGAGTTATAAATATTCTTATTCAATTGAAAACTAAAAAAATAAAAAATCTATTCTAAGATGATAAAATCAGAATTGAAACTTTTGTTAAGTAACAATAAACAAATAAAAAAATCATTGTAATTTATCAAAATATTTAACACATGCAAGCTTTTGTATCAGTACTATCATATTTATTTGATATAATAGACTTTTAAGATTTTGCTTTATTTCTTTTTTCATTTTATTCAGCCATACTTTATTTAATTTTATTTTCTATTAACTATTTGAAAGCATCTTAATTTATTTAGAATGATTAATTGCTCATAGACCTTAGATTTTCATCACTAGTTTAAAAGGAACCTTAACTGTTCATTTTTTCAATAGCTTAAGTAAAATCTTCTATCTAATAATTAGCTAATTCTTATGCAGAGTTTATTAAACATTATAGAATTTATTTGTAATGATTTTTGGCTTAGATTATATTAAGAATCCATCTTAACACTTCTTTATCCTAAATAATTTACAATTAATTTTCTTCTTCTCCACTAATTTCATATTGTTTCAAACAATTAATCTCAAAATTAATTACATAATAGATCTTATCAAGTGAATAAGGTTTTGGAGGAGTTTAGAGATTTAATTAATCAATAAGTTCTTCTTTATTATTATTGAGAAGTTCCATCAATAATGATCCTTTCTTCTATAATTTTTTAGTCCATTGTTAATATTAAGATCTAAAATTATTTTTAACTTTATTACATTGCACTACAAATGCTGGATTAAGTCTCTGCACTTTTTTGTGAATCCATACTTAAGCCTTTTATTTCTGATGATTTTTCATCAATTTTTTTGAATTAAACAACTTTATTTATTTTTCGAACTTCTAATAATTCAGTGTAAATATAATTGACAAGAAGTTCCTCATTATTGAATTAAGTTTTAAACCAAAAGTCAAATTCTTTCAAGCTATCCTATCAAAATGTAAAATTAATAATAATACTTGCAGAGATTAAATTTTTCCTAACAATTATGATTCGTTCTAGCATTAATTTATTTTTGAGGATATGAAGCAATTACTAATTTCTTTACAGTAATTTTAAATCTCAAAAATCATAATTAATAATAATATTTTAATAATATAAGTAACATTTATTTATTCTCATAATAATATTGTCATATATGAATCAAACTTCACAATTTCATCATTAAATTTACGTAATTTTAATTATATTAAACATTTTTAACATCAAATCTTTTTATCATTAACTTTACCTTTTTAAAATGAGTAAGCATTTTAGATATTAAACATATAAGTAAAATAAACCATATAGTATATGAAAACACTAAACAAGATATTAATAATCTATCTTAAGCAATCTTATCATATAGTTCAAAGAATGAGAAGTAAGTTAAAACTCCAAAAATAGCCAAAATTATAACTAAGAATGAGAGTTCCAAAAATAAAGAGAATTTGTTTTTTCTCCATTAACTAAATTCGAAATTAATAACACCATTTACATGTCTATATTAATTACAATTTTTGCATTAGATTTACTCTTAATATGATCCTTATTACAAAAATTCATTAGCACATTTTTGATGAGCTAAAGAACATTAGCAAATAGGAAATATATTTTATGTTTCACCACAAAAACAGCAATCTTTTGGTGAAACAGATATCATAGCATCTTCAGTATGGTTTCTTATTTATAATGAATTTGATTAGTCATTATTATTTATTAATATTTTAGTTTCATTATGAGACACCTTTTATTATAATGAATTATCAAATTATGAAAAGTCTCCTTAATAGGTTTTTTATTTGATCACTGTTGTTTATTCATCTTAATCTTCAATAATTGAATTTCTTGATTTTTCAACTTTAACTGATTATGAGATTTTATTATTATTATTCTATGTTTGACTTTTTAAATAATTAATTATCTAAGGGGATTAAGGTTCTTTAATTAATGACATTTTAATTTTAATTATAGTATAATGATTTAAGGTTTGTAGTTATAAACTAATTTTATCAGAGTGAAATTTTAGTTAATAATTTCCTTAATACAATTTTAATAATTATAATATGAACAAAATATATGAAAAATATAGAATGAAAAATAATATTAATTTATAAAATTAGATTAAGGTGCTAATTGATATAATTTGTGATGATGATAAATGATATTAAAAAGAGTAATAATATTTAATATTATGATATTCTTAATAAATTATGGATTTCAATTATATTTTAGAATATAAATATTATTAACAAAAATGACAGAATCATATCTGAAATAATAAAAGTTGGTAACTCATACTTGGTCACCAGATGGCTAATTTGTTGCACTTTCTATTAAGAATACCAGCAATGCAGATATTTATAAAATTGGTTAATTAGAGAAGATTGGAACATGGTAAAAAGTATCTACTTTGAAAGATGCATCATAATAAATTAATGTGTTATCTTGGTCAATAGATAACAAAATATTAATTGGAAGTGATGATAGAAGCGTAAATTTTAAGATGATAATAGGTTTTTGTATATAGAAATATTAATAATTAATGGAGCAAAGATTTAGTCATTATCACAAATGAGAAAGCTATTTTATCAGGAGAATGGGCACCTAATGGATAAAAATGTGTAGTTGGGACTGCTTGCCATAAAGCATTTGTTTTATTTTTTGAAGAAAAAAACAATTGGTGGCATAATTAATAAATCAACTGTTTTTATTCAAGTGTAACTGCATGCAGATTTCATCCAAGTGGAAGAGTAGTAGGATTAGGTTCAACTGATCAAACATTTAAATTAGTTTCATGTGTTATTTAAGAAAATATGAATTTTGAAGATTAAACATATAATGGTCTTTTTAAGGATATAAGAACATTTGGAGAAATTCTTGTAACTATAAATTTAAATGGTTGGATTAATTCTATTGATTTTACTTAATCAGGTAATAAATTCGCTGTTGCTGCACATACAGGATTAATTAAATAATATTCATTTAATGAAGATGGAAGTTTGATTGTTGATAAAGAAGATAAAAATGTAAATTATATACATATATATTAGGCAACTTATATAAAGGAGACAAAACCATTTAATAAAATAATATATATAAATGATTCCACTTTAGTAGGAGTAGGATATGATAGGAAACCAGTTTTATTGAGTAGTGAACCTACTTTAAAATTTACATCAATTATTGAGAAATGTTTAGCTGCAGAAGGAGAAGTATAGAAATCTGGAAGTATTGCTGCTGCAAAGTAAATGTTTTCTGGAAAAGGTACTAAATGATAATTATTATTAATATAGGATAAAAAACAGAAGATGATAAATTTGGACATTAAACAGCCATCACTTGTATTAATAAAGTTAGTGATAACTTAATATCTACAAGTGATGTTAATGGTATTATTAACTTTTGGAGAATATGATATAATAAAACAATCATGTAACACACATTAAAATATTAAATTTTTATTCTATTTTTTTCTTTAATAATGACATTACTTATTTATACAAGTAATAATATATATGGTATAAATTCATTAAATTGTTTAAATAAATTAGTATCATTATTTTAATAATTATGCTTATTCTTTCAGATATTAATCCATATTCATTTCTGCATTTGAAATAGCAAATCCACATTTAGCCTCTTAATATAAGTAACGATCATTCTCGACCATTTCTAAAGCCTTCAAAAAACTATTCTTTCCTTCATTATATGATCCCATTTAAGCAGATACTGTTCCTAGTTTCATATGTCCTTTGATAATACTTTCTGTGTCCTTCATTTCATTTGCCAATTATAGAAACTTTTCTATAAATAACTAGAAAAATGAGTAAGTTAACTTATACTTTCATTTTTTCAGCATTATCATATAAACCTTTTTATCCTATTCTTCCAATATTAGCTATAGCAATTGTTTATCCTAATTTGCTTGACATATTTATTGCATGTTTGAGAGCTTACTAAAAGTAAAACATAGATAACTAAGAATTGGCATCATAACATAAGCCAAGATTTATTGATGCCAAGAATTTACCATTACTATCAGAAACTTCTTCATGTTTTTTATGAAATTCAATTGCTTTTTCTATATATTTTGGATTTGTTTCAGCCATAAATTAATAATCTACTCCTATACAATTATAAGCTAATCCACATCCATGCAAATCATCTATTTTAATACATATTTTTAGAAATCTCTCATATTATTATATAGCTTAACTCCATTTTCCCATATTATCCAATAATACTCCCATACTATAATAAGCCCTTCCTTCATCTTTAATTCTTCCAGCTCTTTTACATGCAAAAGCCAACATTTCATAATCTTTCAATCTTCTTTAAGATTATAAATAAATAGATAATTCTGGAGTCTAAAGACTTTTTGGATCGTTTTATTTTTCTGACAATTGAATTTTATTTTTCTCTTTAGCTAATATTAAATAATACATTCATATTCTTAAATCTAGCTGGAGTGTTAAAAAAACAGGGTAGTTCTATTCTTTGAGGTTAGTTTGTTGTTATTGAACAACCTTATGTTTAAGAAAACATTCTAAAGTTCCTAACTTAATTTTCTTCTGCCAAAGAGGAAGTAGGCCTTATAGAATAATTTCGATGTGATTTATTGTATGTGTTTCTGCTATTTTAAAGTGATGATTTCATTATTTTAAATATAAATATTATTATGTTAAATTTAATTTTACATTATTTTTATAATAATCCTAAAATTTATAGTTTAACTGACTAAACTAACTCTCTGAAATACATAATAATAAAAAGAGAATATGAAACAAATATAATTATTTTTTGGTTAAAAATTTAAAAATTTATCAAGATACTTTGGCATATAAAATTTCTAAAATTGATATAAGTTCTTATTTTTATTCGATTAGTAGAGCTTAACCTGATATGGTATTGAATTTATTATTATACTTCCCTCTAATTGTAAAAAATAGATCTTTATTGAAAAATCTAGAACTTTGGTATAATCTATATTCACCTGAAGTTGAGTTTGGTTTAAAATTCATATCAATTACTTACCTTATTCTAAACTTTTCTTTAATATCTCCGGAATTCTCTTAAAAGAATAACTCATTTGAAGGTAATACCTTTAAATATCCTGTTTTCGTATCAGAGGTTGAAGTAAAAACTAAAAGAGGAAATCCTCTTGCCAATTTATCAGCTGGATTATCTAGAATTATTTATTTCATCTAAACTTAAATCTATTCAGTCTAAATTTGTTAATTTGAAATTATTGTTTTGATTTTCTAAGAAAAATGATTAATTTATTGATTATCTTAGAAAAATTCAAGAGCATTATACACAACACTTTTATTTATTGTAGAATGATTATCTTTATCACAGGCTAAATTTTATATCAAAGTTAAGATTAGACTTATTACTTTCTCATTTTGTTTATACTATTCTATCAGTTAAGTGAATATTTATAAATTATCTAAAGTACAAATCTTCTTTGAATATTATTTCACTGATAAATTTAATACTGTGATGCTCCTTTCAATAATTAAGGAATCCTCCTTATTATTTGATATTATTTGTTTAATCACTGTTATTTATTCAGAAGGTAATAGTTATTATGCAGAATATATCGAATACAATTACAAGAGATCTCTTAATAATGCCTTGTTTTATTACATTTTTTTTAATATATCAAATATTGACTCGGATATTGATATTAATGAATTTGATCTTAGAAGACACAAAGTTTATAAACACCTTAGAATCCATTTTAAAGTGTTAGGATTATTTTATGTCTATAATTATCTTATCAATAATGTAATTAAAACTCTAGATTCTACTTTCTGCTATTCAATCTTATATAAGACATTTGTTAATAATTATGCTGTGATTTCAATTAATTTAGGTTCAGTTTTTTATTCTAAATCAATTAAAATTATAAATAATAAATCTGAATCTAATAATTATTATTAAACTTCTTTATTTTAATAACATAAACATGATAGAGCATAATAAGCATTCTATTTAATTTCAATATTTTAATCATTGATTGATTTATTTATAATCAAATAAATTGATTGATCAATTAAGTCTTTTTATGCAAAATTGTATAAACACAATGAACCAATAAGTAAATAGCATTCTTTTTATAATCTCTAAACCCATTTCTTGATATGATTTATAACTTCATATTAATAGAGTAATTATGCACATTTTGAATTGTAACAATAACCTTCTAAACATGTTAAAATTGCTGATACTAATTCTTCATCCCAACAATCTTCTAAATAATTCACAAGAATGATGATATCTTTTTAATTAATCATTCTATTTTTCATAAATTTAGTTTCTTTTGCTTTTATTAAAATTCTTACTTAATTTATACTAACTCTTGCTATTTATAAATCTGACCATCTAATTAATGTTTCGTAATCATTCAAAATTGATTGATATTATAAAATTGCTAATAAGGATTCTTCTATATCTATTTAATATGTTTAATAACTTGATTATGAATAAATAAATAATAGTTAATTTGTAATATCTAATTAATGACATTCCTTTGCATCTTTTTCACTTTAAATCAATTATCTAAATTATTTGAGTACTCCTGGAAGTCTACTCTAATTTTATTCATTTTGAACAATTAATTATAAAGCCTATAGAAGATCAGCTAATACACTTATTTACCATTTTCCAACATTTGGTTATTAATTTTATAATATAGGTTGCTCATTTTTATATGACTGATCATTTTAAACAGCCTGGCTTTAAGTATTGTTATTATTTTCATCAATTTATTGAACTCTATGCTCCAATTATTCTTAAATTTATTGGGTTTCTTAAGATGTTTAAATATAAGAAATTTGTTAACTTTATTATTCTATCATTTAATTATTAACTTCCTAAAACTCTACTTGTTTTTCCTTTACTACATATTCTATTTCTATTTATTAATTTGTTTCTTAATATTCTACATTAAATGATGCTGTACGTTAACTATCTTAAACTTAATCTATTTACAAAGTAATTTTGTGTTATTAATCTTCAAACTACTATAAAGTATTGGTTCTTTAACTTTCAAATTAATAAAAGGTATTTACTTCTTATTGAGTTTAAAATTAAGTGTTTACATTATCTGGTTAATTATACACTGTATTAGCATTTGCATATTCAAATACATAATTTTCTTATCTATTGATACCTTGAGATATTTCTACTTTTTAATTTTAGATTGAATTTATTAATTATTCTTTATCTTATTCTTAAATAATAGGTTATTATTATTATTATTGTTAATTATAATTTTTTTTCTATTTTTCTTGAATTAATGCTTCAGTGAATACAGCCTTGGCATTTTTTTCCTTTTTCTTTTATAAATTTTATTTTTCTTCATCACTTGAAGATGATGAAGAAGATGATGATTTCTGTTTTTATATTTTATTTTAAGTTTTACTTTCTTGTTTTAGGTTAGCTTCAACTAAAAATTCATTATTTCTTAAAACATTCTATTCTGATTAAATTGACACCTCAAATTATTTATTTTAATCTTTTTTATTATTTTTTTCTTCTTTCTTCTTATCCTCTATTTTATTAGCAACGATTGCAGATCCTATTAATAATTCAGCTCTTTGTAAATCTTGATTTTAAGATTTTTATTCATATTACACTTAAAATTCATTTTCCTATAATGTTTATTATTATATAGGTTGTTATTTAATTTATATTTAAATAAATTCTTATTATTGGTTTTAATTTTCTACTTCTTTTACTCCTTAAACTTTAGGTTCTACTTTTTATTAATTTACTTGAATCTATATATTTCCTCTTTATATATCATTTAAATTAATGGAATCATTTTTTTCATTAATTGTTTTCTGCACTTGAGATGCAACAAAAACAGTTTCAATTTGTTTAGATTTATTAGCTTCTCTATCAGAAGATGATGAAGATGAAGATGAATTAGATCTTATTTTTTAATTTTTCTATTACTAATTTTATTATTGATTTTCTAATAAATTACTACTCTATTAAGTAGTAATTATGAATTCTTTTTCTAATTATTAATTTGTTGAATATTCTTAATGTTCTCTTTGTATTTATTAATTCACCTTAAATTCAATTGTAGATTGATTCTTTTATTAATCATTTAATGAATTTTAAGTTATTTCAAATTTTAATACATTCTAGTTAGCTTAATCATCTTAATTACTCTTAATTACTTCAATTTGCACATTGTGTTTTTCTTATTTCTTCATATCATTAGACTTTTTAGATGAGGAAGATGAAGATGAAGAAGAGGATCTTTGTTTTTATTTTGGCTTCTAAATTTATTATTAATGTTAAGCCTCGGCAATGATTAAAGAACTTTCTACTTAGACAAGCCTTTCTTATTTCAATTATTCTTATTTAGTTTTTTCTTCTTCAATTTTCTTTTATTCTTTAAGCATTTTAAGCTTTGTTTTAGAATCCATTTCTTCTTCTTTTTTCTCTTAATGAATATTTTTTGCAGCATCCAATATTATTAAATCTTTAATTACTTCTTTTTAAACTTCTTTTTTAATTTATTTATCTTATTCTTTCTTTAATTTTTCTGCTTCTTTCTTTTATTTTTCTGCTTCCTTTTTTAATCTTTCATCTTCCTTCTTTTTTAATTCAGCTTCTTTTTTCAATCTTTCAGCTTCTAATTTCTTTTATTTTTCTGCTTCTTTTTTTTATCTTTCATTTTCCTATTTTTGTAATTTTTCAGCCTCTTTTCTTTATTTTTCTTCTTCTAATTTCTATGCTTTCAAAATTTCTTTCTGTTTTTTTTCCTCCTCTATTTTCTATTTTTATTCTATTTTTCTTTATTTTTCTTCTTACTCCTTTTACTTTTATTATTCTGCTTTAATACCTTATTCAATTATCTTTGCTTCAATAAGTGTCTTCCCTACTTCCATACCAATATGCTTTTTTTCTTTATTTTTTTTATCTTTTTTATCATCTTAAGATGATGAAGAACTACTTGAACTACTTGAATTTCGTTTTTTTTCTTTTTTTATTTATACCTCTTCAATTTATTAGTTTTTTTCATGAGTTGCAATTGATGCTGTAATTAATAACTGTTTTTCTAATTCTTAATTATTAATTTGCTTTTATTCTATATTGGTTTAAACAGTATACTATAAGTTTTCTTTAATTTGATTATCAAATTAATCTTAATTTATTATCAAACTATTTAATTATTAATTAGTTTATGGAATTTCATTTTATTAAAGATTAATATTTTCTTATTTTGAGAATTCTTAATGTTGAATTTCCAAATTAATAGTTTAATTTATAAGTTAATTTTATTATTCTTAATAAATAGGTTCTTTAATATTAATTTGATAATTTGTTACAGGCATTTCTTAATTTACATTACTACTTTGTTCTTGTATTGAAACAAAGTTTAATGTTGTAGTTTAAGGTTACTGATATTCATTTTTTCTTTCTGATTTTAATGCTGCTTATTTTATCATTTAAGAAGATAGTTATAATTCATCATCCTTTATTTCTAGTATTTTTTATTCATTTTGAGGAAATAATATCTTGCTTGGATCATAATTAATTTATAATTCTTGTTTCTCAAAATTTATTTCTTAATCTAATTTTAATCCTTAATAAGATATTTGAAATTCTTAATTTTACTCAGAACCAGAATT